GTGGGAGCGGGGAGAAGGCATAGGCAAGAGAACCACTCACAGGGTCTCCAGGCTCGTGGTGCCTTTGAGGTCTGGGAACTCCTGGATGTCGGTGGCTCCATTCAGGGACCTGGAAACAGAGCCAGCAGCTATGAGGGTGGAGCCAGAGCCTGTCCGCATCACTCCCAGCCCCCGACTCTCCCCCAACACCCCTCCATCGGCCCAGCTCCCTGGTGGAGCCCAGGCATGGCCGAGCAGGGTCCACGCAGCCATGACGCCCAGATGGAGCCGGCAACCTCAACATCCGGGAGCCAGCATGCCAAACACAGGCCAGCCCGGCCGGTGTGGCTCAGTGATTGAACATCAACCTATGAACCAGGAGGTCACAGTTCGATCCCCAGTCGGGGCACAGGCCCGGGTTTTCGGGCTGGATCCCCAGTGTGGGGTGTGCAGGAGGCAGCCAATCCATGATCCTCTCTCATCATGGATGTTTCTATCTCTCTCTCCTTCTCCCTTCCTCTCTGAAATCAATAAAAAAAATATAGAAAAGAAAAGAGGCCGGCCAAGGTCCCTGGCTGTGGAGAGGGCCCTGTTCGCCCGTTCAGGATCCGGGAAGAAGCCAGGAGAGGAGGAGGGAGGCTGTTGGTGCCCCCGCGGCCTGAGCCTGGCGGAGGGAGGTTGGGTGGGGGCAGCGGGGACGGAGGAAAGGGGGCCCACGTACAGCGTGTGCAGCTTCGGCAGGTACTGGAACGCGGACCTCCCCACGGACTGGATCGGGTTGTCATAAAAGTGTCTAGAAGAGACCCCAGCACGGAATTCATTCAGCCAGGACCGCGGCAGGTCTCTGCTTTCTTCTCCCCGTGGAGCCCCGGGGACAGCACCCGGGAATCAGGTCAGGCACCCCCACCATTGTCCCGCTTCCCCAGCTCCCCCCAACCCCCGACACCCGAGAAGTCGGGACTCACATGGTCTGCAGCAGAGGGTTCCCCATGAAGGCCTTCTCTGGGATGGCCTTGATGTTGTTGTTATGGAAACCGCTGCAAGACAAGCCGGTCAGTGAGGACACGAGAACACAGGGGACGCCATGCAGCTTTCGGATAGGGACGGAGACCAAGGCCAGAGCAGCAAAGGGGCGTGCAGGAGGCAACCGATCGGCGTCCCTCTCACATCAGTGTTTCTCTCTCTCTGCCTCTCCTCCTCTCTCCCACTCTCTCTACACATCGATGGGGAAATATCCTCAAGTGAAGATTATCAACAACCACAACCACAGTTCGGGGCTCTGCTCCTCAACCTCGGGGCCTGCCGGCTGGCCACATTCACTCCTGCTGGGCCCTCTCTCTGCCCGGGGGTCAGTTTCCTGTCCGTTCTCCTGACCAGGACGCGGCGCGGAGGTACTCACAGCTCCTGCAGCCGGCCCAGCGTCCGGATGGCCACCGGGAACTCCCGCAGGTCGTTGTGGTTCAAGTCCCTGGAAGGGAGCAGGGCTGGGGTCAGGGCGCTGGTGGGCGGGGAGGCCAGGCCTG